GGTTCAGATGGTGACAAAACCGGTCTAACACCACACGCGTGACTGGGTTTAGTGAAAGCATCAGTGACTTGAGCACCGGATGAGACAAACCTGACGCCGAGTACCCCAAGAGGAACCTTCTCTCGAACAGGTGAAAATTAACCTTGTTGAGTCCTGACATGAAAGATTGGATTGACGGTAAGACAAGTGATCTGCAGATCTGAATGTAATTTTTATTCTTTCTGGTGTTCATTATACTATCATGATTAAAGATAAATAGATTGAAAGTTTTCTCGCAATGAAAAAAGTGGTGCCAAGATTACCACACCAAAGAATTGATGCTTTTGGTTGTGGCATATGCAACTCCTTAACAATGGTTGAATCCATGTGACCTCGGCAGCTCCATTAGCTATGCCTTGTATTCAGCCTCGGTTCTGAACGGGACAAGGTTGGCTGCTTTCGTGAACTCCATGAGATGAGAGTAGGACCCAAGAAATACCGCAAAACCTCCTGTGGAACAATGATATCTACTACCAGCCCAGTCAACATCCGTGAATGCACTCAAAAGAGTAGAGGGCGAGCGCTGCATAGGGCTGGGCGTTCGGTTTATATGGTTAATACGGTTCAGTTTATTCAGTTTTTTAAAATTTCGGTTTTAAAGAAATGGCCACCGAAATAATCACACAAAATTTAGACACCAAACCATATTAACCAAAATATATCGGTTCGGTTTGTTCGGTTAACCGGAAAACCGAACTACTTGCACCCATCAGTCTATGTGTCATGACTCTTCAGTAGAGGTGGGCACTGTACATAATGTACAATATAACTAATTTCATGAGGCACTCATACATACGCTGGAAGATCCATGATCGAAATCATGTAGCTACGCTGGAAGATTCATGACTGTTGTGCTTCGGTTTCTTCGGTGAATATGGTTTTCTAGCTACGAAAACCGAACGCAAACCCAAACACCGAATAGCAACCAAGTTGCACACCGAACCGTAAAACCGAACAACGAATAAACCATCAAATCGGTTAAAACGGTTTGGTTTTTCGGTTTTTGGTGTCAAAGTGCCCACCGGCGCTGCATGTGTAACTTTGTGGCTAATGTTCCCTTGACATACGCAAGAATACGCTTACATCCCCCAAGTGATGGTAGTGGATTTTGACAAGAATTGACACAGCTTGTTGACCGCTAAGGACATGTCAGATCAAGTCAAAGTAAGATACTGCAACCCACCAACAATACTTTGATAACTGAACACAGAGAAAGTTGCGCAAATACACAACTTTCTGGGCCTAGGTAACCGAAAACCACAACTCCAGGACTAGTCGGTAACAAAAAACAAAAAACTATTTGGCGGTGGCAATTAAGATGATTCAAGCTGATGAAATGGACATTGGTGAAAGAGATGAAGTATCTATGAACCTTCATAGAAATAGTATTATTCGTGTTGATCGATCTCAAAATAAAGTCAGTGACGATTACAAAAAAAAGTTCACGCCCCGCTTATATTATATATAAAGCACCGAACACCATACAATCCAGTACATACAACTCAACCCACACCACACACACTTAAGGCGAGATACAAGGGTGTATAAGAACTACTAAATAACCCCATACACTCCAAGCAAACTACATGTAGGAAATGAAGGCACCACTTGGATTCTCCGGAGCCCTCAACCGCGAACAAGTCACCGCGAAGAGAGGAAACAGTGCACGACGAACTGTGTACTCCAAGCCGGTGCCTTCAGGAAGGGCACGACACCAAAGTATCACCATCGCCCAATCCATCAAGGTTTCCCCCGGAGCAACATGAGAATGCAGATGAACCGCGGCGATGCCTTCAGGAAGGAGACAACGCCCATAGGTGATGCCACCGTCTGCTTGGCAAAGCCAAAGCAGACTTTCACCCTGGCAAGTCCTCAATGCCTTCGAGACGTGGTACAACAAACCAGGCCCGCCGCACCCACACCTTTGACCGTCGCACCCTGGCCACCACGCCGCCTGCACAACCATGGCAACCAGCTCACACCCGAGTCGTGAGCTCCACTCATGAGCACCACGACTCCCACCTCCAGGGCCGGCACCCCGATACCCATGGCCCCGGCACCATCCCCATACCAAGCTTGCAGCCAAGATCAACAAAGGGACGGGCGGAAAGGCACCTCCTTCTCCACCCTTGGATGGCTCCTAGGTCCGAGGCCACCCCTAGCCGGCCATAACTGGGCGCCACCGCCCCACCTTGCTCCGGCAGTGCAAGGAACGGGCTCCCCGGTGGCACACTCCGTGCTCGCCAATGTAGCCATCCGCTCCATGCTTGAAGCCAAGGAACCAAAAAGGGTACGTCTCTGCTCCTCGCCCAGCCGGCTAACCCATCCCTCAACCCCCACCCTAAGCCGCCGCCGCCGCCGCAGCCCCCCAACGCATACGCCGCCGTTGGCACGATAGTTCCAGCACCCCCTGCCGCTCCTCTTCATCGGTCAGATTTCAAGCGTCCCGTGATTACGATTCCCTTTCAGATAAAGTAAGGACCACTGGAGATACTTCCACAGCGGCCCCTCCTATCTCCATCGATGATGAATCTCCCAAGGCAATGAATCTCCCAAGGCCACTGCTACGGGTAAGTTCTCAAAATACCGAAAAAGGCTTACGCCTAGCTTTATATATAAAAGCACCGATCATCAAGCACCCAGTACAAACACACGCCACCGTAACACATGCACACACCTAGGGCAAGATACATAGACACTGAGCGACGCAACACCACTCCTAGCACTACCATCACGAATAGATGAAGCTACATATGACGAACCATGTGCTCCAAGGCGGCACCTTAAAGAAGGATACGACACCGGAGCGCCGCCACCGCCCGATCCAATAATCAGAGTTTCCCCTGGAGCCGCATGACGGGCAATGAGAGCCGCGACGACGCCTTCAAGAAGGGAATGATCTTCGCCGCCGCCGGTCCGTCCAAAGATAGAACAGGTTTTCACCTCGGCCAACACTCACCGCCACCGAATGCCACACCCCGGCAACCACGCCGCCCACACGGCCATGGTGACTGGGCAGCGCCAAGGCACGGGCTCCGCCCAAGAGCACCGCGCTACCACCATCAGAGCCGCCACCCCGACATCCAAGACCTTGACACCACCTCATCCGAGACCCGCCACAAACCCAACCAAAGAGACGAGCAAAAAGGTCACACCTTTCGCACCCCTGGGCGACCCCAGCGTCGAGACCCAATAGGCCGGCCAGAACTGGCATCCAACGACCCGTCCTACTACCCCGAGCACGATACGAGCTCGGTCCTGCAGCACCGAAATGGGGACGAGCTCGGTCCTGCTGCACAGTGCGCGAGACGAGCTCGGTCCTGCAGCACCGGGCGCGAGACGAGCGGTGGACCGCAGCTGGGAGAGGACATGCCCTATGATGAGAGTAGCGCCCGGGCGACGAGGAGATGGAGCGACGTCGAGACGGTCCGCACGCAGACGAGCTGACGCCGGAGAAGCCGGCCGCTGCCTCGGGCAGATCCGTCGAGCCACCGTGAAGCCACCACGACACTGGGAGGCCACCCGTTGGACCTCCCTACGCCGCCGCCTATGGCCGGAGCAGCGTTCATGCCCGGCCGCTGCCCTACCAGCGTCGCCCGACAAACTTCAAGCGCCGGAGCCGCCAGGCACGCACCACCGGAGCCACGCGCCGTAGGCCGACCCCAATGCTAGGCCGAACGTGGCCCGCACCGCCGCGAGGTCAGCTCTGGCTGGGTCACCGGCAGCCATCCCCGACCCCCGGCCCACACCACCACCTCCCCCGGTGCTGAAGAAGAGGAGGGGAAGGCCGAGGCCGCCACTGATGCGCCACCACCTCCGCCAGCCGGCTGCCACGGCGGAGGAAGTCGCCCGCAGCCCGCACCGCCCGCAGCCCGCTCCTACCGGATCTGGATCGAGCCGACACCGTCATCACACCAGCTGAGCACCATCGAAGCGCAGCCCATCACGCCACCCGCACACCCGCGCGCCATCACCAGTGCCGATGAGGGGCCGCGCCGCGGCGCCCCGCTAGAACGCCGCGACCAAATCCAGGTCGGCCGGCCCTCCCGCATGAGGCGATAAAGATGCCCCGCCACCGCCGGCGCCGGCCCGGCTTCGCTCGGGCACGCCCTCGGTGACGGCGGGAGGAGGAGGAGGACAGAAGAGGTGGTGAGGCGGCCGGCGGCTAGGGTTCCTCCCCTGCCGCCCGCGGGAGCGCCGGAGGAGGAGTCCAGAATTTTTCCTTTTCGTAAGTTCTCAGAATCACAGTCATATTTTCTAAAGATCCAATTTTTATGGTCATATTTTCAGAATCACAGTCATATTTCCTAATAATATAAGAGCCTATACAGATTGAAATCGGTTTCTCAGTTTGAATCGTATACATTTTCATGTCCGATTGGGCAACGTACGCGGGCGTGTTTGTGCCGTTATATAAATCTGCTTATATATGTAAATTTTCCTGACGGGATTTTTTCTCAATGACAGGACCTTATCCAAGCTCAGGCTGGTCCGACCTCCCCACCGATCTCCTGATCCGCATCCTGCTTCTCCTCGATTTACCCGAGGCTCTGGCCTTCTGTGCTGTCTGCCCGTCATGGTGCTCGGCCTCCATGGCCGCCCCCAGTGTCCCACCTGGCTGCACACCGTGGCTTGTGTCCTTGGCGACTGAGCCTCTTCCTGGAGGGGAACAGAGTCGCAGGCTATGGGATCCCACAGTTACTTCCAAGTTCCGCAACCTCCTAGACGAGAAAGAATTTAAGGTCAGTTTCCCCCGGGGCCAGGCTGTGGCCTGCTGCGGCTCCTTCCGCGGCTGGCTGGTCGTGGCTAACGAGCTCTCAGACCTTGTCCTCTACAACCCCTTCACGGCGGCATTGCTCCCGCTCCCGCCGCTCACCGGCTTCTCCTCGTGCATCAAAGGGGTCTATGCAGATGAAGGAAATGTCATTGGCGATCGTTATAGGTGTCTCCATGGTGGTAATGGCAGTGTTTATGACATGGATTCTCTGGGCAGGCATTTCTATGACAAGGTTGTGTTGTCTGGTTCTCCATCTGCCGGTCCTGTAGTTGCTTTGGCCATCCACTGGGACGGCAAGCGGCTCTCTTTTGCGAGGGTAGGAGATAGTTCTTGGCGACAAGTTTCGGTGATAAGTAGAATCCAAGATAGTTTTGCCGATTGTGTCTACCTGCGAGGCAGATTCTACGTCTTGTCAATGACAGGTAAATTGAAGATTTGGGACATCGGTGGACCGGAGGACATACCACGAAAGAAAACGATCATCGCCGAGGAAGACGATGACTTTTTCGAAGTTATCACGAGATACTTGGTTCCAACTCCCTGGGGACATCTTCTGCAGATTCGTGTCATCTTGGACAAGGATCAGGATCATTGCGTCAGTGTTTATGTAGACAGGCTGGATCGCAAGAGCTGCCAAATGGTAGGAGTAAGCCCCGCGACGGCTCTAAGGGGGCACGCTGCGCTCCTCGGACAGAATAGCCCGGGTCTCTTGTCCGTGGAAAAATTCCCTGAGCTGAGACCGGACTGTATCTACTTCACGACTCCCCGTCTCAGGGGCGACATTTTTGAGCATCGACATAACCAATGGAAGGGTGTGAAGGTCTATGATTTGAAGAAACTGACGCTGGAGGATGCATTTCCGTCAGGTGGTGGTCATTATGGAACAATATATCCGTCGGAAGTCTGGTTCATGCCGGGCCTGTGATTACTTAGGAACCATGTCGACTGGAAGATGTTTCGTGCTGCATGCGTACGAGTTGGTGCTTTGCTATGGCTGTTTTCTTCTAAATTCTGTATGGAATAGATTGATGAGTTGTGTTGGGTATATATATAGTACTAGTAGTAGCTGGCAAGCTAGCAATCATGAGTTTGTATGCTGTCCTGTCCCACCACAAGGTTCAGGGCTTCAAAGGTTAGGTTTAGATGTTGCACGGAGCTAAATATAATCGCCTCTGAATTTTAAGAGCCTGATCTTAAAAAGAAAAGGCCAAGCTGATTCAAAATAAAGAGGTGGATATCACCAAAATACGATAGAAGCTGATTCATTTTTTTTTGAAAAGCGGATGTACCCCAGCCTCTGCATCAGAACGATGCATACGGCTCATATTATTAAACGGATAACCAGTAACAAGGTCTCGAAAGGTCGTAGTACAATCATCAATAAAAGCTCACAAAAAAAGGCCCAAAGCCACAACCGGCTGGCAAAACAATAGGAGCACTACATGCCTATCCTATTACATGACCGTCATCCAAACCGGTTGAAAATATCCCGAGCTACCATCTCCCATCGGGTAGACGCAGTAACCAAACGCTCCCTGGCCTCCGTCGGAGTGAGTAGCGACCACATACGGATGAACGCCGTGGCCCTGAAGATAACCTGCAAAAAGTGAATGGTTGTTGATCTGTTAAAGACTAAATCATTTTTGCAGTTCCATATTGCCCATAATAAAGCACAAACGCCAACCCGAATGTGTCTTGCCATGTCAGAATCCACCCCGTCAAGCCATGTTCCAAATAACATGCTGATAGAGGTGGGCTGATTAATATTAAAGGCAATATGGACTGACCGCCACAGAATCTTAGCCAACGGACAATCAAGAAAGAGGTGTTTGATGTTTTCGTTATTATCACAAAAGCTACATCGAGACGAGCCCACCCAATTTCGTTTTGCAAGGTAATCCTTAGTCAAAATAACTTGTTTATGCACAAACCACATAAACACTTTGATACGTAAGGGTACCTTAACTTTCCAAACATGTAACGAGGTAGGGATGATGCTAGAGTTAATGACATCCTGATACATTGATTTTACTGAGAACACACCGTTCTTAGTAAGTTTCCAATGCAGCTGATCTGGTTGCTGAGACAGGCGGACGTCCATTAAACGTCTAACGAGATGGAGCCAGGCCTCCCAACGATTTCCAACAAGCGTCCGTCTAAAACTAATATTGAGGGGAGCGGAATGTAAAACATTAGCAACATAGGCTTCTCTACATCGGACAATGTTGTACAAAGAAGGATATTGAAGTGCAAGGGGGGTCTCCCCAAGCCACGTATCCTCCCAAAACCTCGTAGTGGCACCATTCCTAATAATAAATCTAGTCTTGTTGAAAAAGAGTTGTTTAACTCTCATCAAACCCTTCCAGAAGGGAGAGTCGGAAGGCCTCACATTCACCTGGGCTAAAGTTTTAGCATATAGATACTTATTGCGCAAAATCTGTGCCCAAGTAGACTCCGTCTCAGATGACAGCTTAAACAGCCACTTGCTAAGGAGACATATGTTTTTGACTTCCAAATTTTCAATACCTAGACCACCTTGGTCCTTAGGTCGACAAATAATATCCCACTTAGCAAGCCTGTACTTACGCTTTAGCTCATCATTTTGCCAAAAGAATCGGGATCGGTAGAAATCTAACCTTTTCCTGACGTCCACCGGAACCAAGAAAAAAGATAAGAGAAACATAGGCATACTAGTAAGGACCGAATTAATCAGAATCAATCGTCCTCCGTATGACATGAGCTTTCCTTTCCAACAACTCAGTTTCTTTTCAAACCGATCCTCAATGCATTTCCACTCAATATTAGACAGCTTACGATGATGAATGGGTATATCTAAGTACGTAAACGGTAATGAGCCCAATTCACATCCGAACAATTGTGGATACGATTCCCGGTCCTCATTGGCTCTTCCAAAGCAAAACAATTCGCTCTTGTGGAAGTTGATTTTGAGCCCAGACAATTTTTCAAATAAGCATAACAGCAACTTCATGTTTCTTGCTTTCGCCAAGTCGTGCTCCATAAATATAATAGTATCGTCAGCATACTGAAGGATGGAAATCCCGCTGTCAACTAGATGTGGAACCAGGCCACCTACCTGCCCCGCATCCTTTGCCCGACCTATTAAAATAGTGAGCATATCAGCCACTATGTTAAACATGATTGGTGACATAGGGTCTCCTTGCCGTAGCCCCTTGTGTGTCTGGAAATATTGACCCACGTCATCATTCACCTTAATCCCGACACTCCCTTTTTGCGTAAAGGAATGAATCTGGTTTCTCCAGGCCGGATCAAAACCTTTCATACGCAAAGCTTGTTGAAGGAAAAGCCATTTGACTTTATCATATGCTTTTTCAAAATCCACTTTAAAAACTACGCCATCAAGTTTTTTGGAGTGGATTTCATGGAGCGTTTCATGCAAGACAACAACCCCTTCCAGGATGTTTCTATCAGGCATGAAAGCAGTCTGGAACGGTTGAACTACTGAGTGTGCAATCTGCGCAAGTCTATTTGTCCCGACCTTGGTGAAGATTTTGAAACTTACATTAAGCAGGCATATTGGTCTTAACTGTTCAATGCGAACAACCTCTGTCTTCTTAGGAAGAAGAGTTATCGTCCCAAAATTGAGCTTAAACAATTGAAGCTGCCCCTCAAAGAACTCATGAAACATGGGCATCAAATCTCCCTTGATAAAATGCCAACACTTCTTGTAGAACTCCGCCGGAAACCCATCCGGACCTGGAGCCTTATTATTCTCCATTTGAGCAATAGCCTCAAACACCTCTTTCTCCGAGAATGGAGCAGTCAGGAGCTCATTCTCAGCAGTCTCAAGTTGAGGCACATCCTCAACCCTCGACTCATCCAACGACACAAAGGTCTCTACCGGGGGACCAAACAACTGCTTGTAATAATTGGTAATGTAAACTTTCAGATTATCCTGACCAACTATCGTCCCCTCATCTTGTTCTAGTTGGAAAATTCTCTTTTTACGATGCTTCCCATTAGCAATCAAATGAAAGAATTGAGTGTTATCCTCGCCTTCTACGATTTTGCGAACTTTAGCTCGCGACGCCCACTTCAATTCCTCCTCACGGAGAAGCTTTTTAAGTTGCAGCTCCGCATCTATCTTCGTTTCCAGCTCATTGGAATCCAAGATAGATGTTTCTGCTCTAACTTCAAGATTATGAATAAGCAGAAGAAGTCTCTCCTTCTCCACCTTATAAATCCCATGCATATGCTTAGCCCAACCACGAAGGAACCTTCGGAGATGACGAATCTTGCACTGCCATCGCTCGATAGGCGTTCTACCTCCCGAGTCCTTAGCCCACTCTCTAGCAAGCAACTCAAGGAACCCTTCTCTTTCAAACCAGGCAAGTTAGAACGAAAAAATGTTCTTGTTGCCCACAAAATTTTGAATGCTGGAGTCGACTAATAACGGTGTATGATCCGAGACACCTCGAGTCATAGCCTGCACAGTTACTAAGGGAAACTTCTGTTCCCATTCGACACTTGCCAGCACACGGTCAGTTTCTCAAAGGTCGGAACCGGTAACGAATTAGCCCAAGTGAATTTCCTACCCGAAAGCTCAATCTCTCTGAGATACAAGCTTTCGATAATAGTATTGAACATAAACGGCCATCGGCCATCAAAATTGTCATTGTTCTTATCCTCTTTTCTTCGGATAATGTTGAAATCCCCTCCCACTAAAAGAGGTAGCTGTTCGTTGCCACAAATGCGTACCAGATCCGCCAAGAAATCTGGCTTGAGTTCTGGTTGCGCCGCTCCGTAAACTGCCACCAAGGCCCAGTCAAACCCATCTGCCTTAGTTCTAACTCGAAACTTGACAGCGAACTCACCCATAACTACGCTCCGCACTTCCAATGTTTCGCACTTAACTCCGAGTAGAACACCACCGGATCTTCCTCGAGGGGGTAGGCAATGCCAATCAAAATCTACCCCCCCAGACAGAGTGGCAAGAAAATAAGAAGTAAAATTGCTTCTTCCAGTCTCAGACAAAGCAATAAAATCTAGATGGTGTTCAAGAGAAGCATCTGCTAGAAACCTTCTTTTAGCCAAGTCTCTAAGACCTCTGCTGTTCCAGAAAATGCCTCTCATAACTCATCATGAAAGTTTTTGGCAGTACGGGTCCGAGCACTCCTACGCACTGCGGACATTGGATAAACCTTTCGTTTCCATGTCCGCTTAGGCTTTATGTGACCATCAGCCTGATCACCGCACTCAATCTCAGCTTCTAGCACTAAAGGCTCGTCTACATGAAGAGACGTCTCAGGATTGGATTCTTCCTCTGTCTCAAGTAAAGCAGGGTCAAGATCGGCACACATGCCGTTAAGAACCCTAACCCCAAGCGCATCAATCTCCGAGTCATTCATTGGTTTAACGGCAGCAATGTGACGAATCATATCTTTCGCACGATCAGCTTCCAAATCAAGAATGTCGTTTACCGACTTGGCAATTTCAATATCATTATTACCAAGTGAAATTCCTACTTGATTTGCATTATGAATAATTTCATTATCAGTAAAATGTGAAATTGAATTCGACTTAATAACAGACATACCAGAGGAGATCTCGACGTCATGCAACTTGGCAGCCCTCAAAGCACACCGCAGTTGTATGTCGTCAACGTCCGGTTGCTCGTGCAGCCTCTCGCTGATCCGCCTCCCCTGGGAGATAGGATCCGGGATACCACCAAAGGCGATGACCTCCTCGCGAGAAGCACTGCTATGTAGAAGCTGATTCATGAAATGTTCAAAGCGATTAATGTAATCTTGTCCCATTCCTGTCTGTCTAATAGCATAAAATTGTCTAAATAGCAGTTGATGGCGATCCCTACGAATCTTGCACATAAAACATTGCAGAGGATGCAGAGGCCGGGGAGTCCCCCTTTTCGAAAAAAAGAAAAAAAAA